TCAATACCAACCTTCCTTGAATGATACTCTATCGATTAAAAAAAAAACAGCCCGATATCTCAATATTTGCGAAAGTTAGAGCAACCACAGACATTAAATCTGTACATACATACACACATATAATACGGACAGGCGATTTTGATGCGATATTTCGACATTTTAGAACACTCTGAACATATTGGCATCAAAAACTCAAAAACCAATCTCTTCGTTGGTTTCTTCTACCCCTATTTCATATATAAATCACTTAAATTTGGTTGATTAGACCCAACTTTATACGCAATCAAAGGTTCATATACGAAATTCACGAAAACAAAGCTTCCTCTATGAGGAAGCAATACTATAGGAGAGGGAGAGATCAAATTCCTCCTTCCTTTCCCTAGGACTAACTCGGCATAACAAATCTAATGAATGTAACGTCATAGAAGGGATTTCTAATCTTGAATAAAATTGGGATTCTCTCGGCATCGATTGAATTTTCGCATCAAAAAAGATTATATTACGAGCAACAACAAATCCTCTTGATTGAATAATCAGGTTGAAAAATCACGAAGTGCAAAATTCCGTCTCCGCGATTGCCGCGGCATATCGATAGCGCGGTGCGCTCGCGGGATCCAAATTTCGCGAGCAGATAAGAGCGGTCGTCGATTTAATTAGAGCAGAAACAAAAACTCTAATATGGAGGAAAGCGGTCAAGGGAAGGGAACGGCGACCAATGCCCCGTCAAGATCGACAATGCAGAGTGTGCTAATTAGCGAATATATGTTTTGCCGTATCGGGTCGGCTCGACTCTGCTCGTTTCAGCTTCGCCCGTAAGAAAAATTGATAGGCCAATTGTGGTTCAAGCTTTCTCTAGGCCGGGCCAATGGCCGCGTGAGACCAAGGCCGTCTTCTTCACACATATAATAGTTGTAGTTCGGTGCACACAGCACGGCGAAAAGCGATGCCGAGAGAAAAAAAAGAAACTACACGTGGAGAGATGACCGTGAATCTCGAGGTTGCTTCCACAAAAATCGCGTGTACGCGTGAGTACGCGTGTTGTGTACGTGTGTAAAATAAAAAAATGGAAATTTTTTGTCGATCCCTGCTTAATACTACAATATGCGTGATATCAGTACAAAATTACCTTTTTCAAAAAACTTGGGTTTGAAACCTTTCTGGAAGCTTTCTGCAACAATCTGTGCTGTATGGGTAAGTAACGCAATTTTGTGATATAATAATTTTGTTAAGGAGCTGGAGAAGTAAAGCTACTACCACTTAGGTTGAATTTTTGGATTTACAACATTATGCGTATACTTGGTGCCTTTTTTCACCTTTTTTACCCGTTGGCCGCGATGCATGTGTGATGCGCGCGGTCTCTTCTCTCCTCCTCACGGATCTTTCATAGTCTCCCATATTTTTTTTTTACCACTACCATCTACTACCACTTTGTTTTTTTCGAGGTAACAACATATACACTAATATGCGTTTACTTGGCGCTTTTATTTATCTTGAAAGGTAAATTTGTACGGATGATTATCACCGCGAGAGAAGTCTTCATTATTATCTGCCTTTCACCGTCCCTCCTCGAATCGTTAACTCGAGTGGGGAAAATAATATAAAAGCATCATCAAGTCTGTTTTTGTAGCAGTCAAGTTTCTATTTCAGAGATCCGACAGGTACGACCTGTGCTTTCATTATTGAGTGATCAAGCAGCAAATGTGAACGGACGTATTTTACGCAGGTAAGAGTTTTCTAATATTTTATATAATCAAATATTGTTTTGAATATAAATTTACATTATAAACTCGAATAAAATGAATTAGAAAATATGCTTAAGGAAGACCGGGACTATCTGTCTACGGGGGCTTGCTACCTGAGGTTTTAAGAGACAGACGTCTCTACCATTGTAACAAATAGTTTAGAAATGCTCTACGTAAGAGATTTAAACGTTGTTTGTTTTCTTGCGATGCTTCTCGCAGATGCTATATACGATAAAAGAAAAGCGAAAACAATTATTCACATTTTTCGACGGTCGGCTGTGCAACAGTAGTTTAACTCAAATTAAAGTAAGCAGCTCATAATATTATCAATTAATATACAGTTATCAGGTGTGAGAAACGTTAAATCTTAATTCCGCATAATCTAAAATTGGCAACATGTTAAAGACTGAAAAACGTGGTCGGGGCTATCTGTCTTATTTTTGATGGGACAATGTGTTGTCCACACTTCAATGACGGATTGTTCTTTTATAAATAGATAATGATGCGTAACTACAGAAGAAAGATTTTCCTTAAGACGGATAAGGTAGACATATCCAATAAAATTATACTTTGAGTGATTAAAAGAATAAAAATCGAGCGAGAATTTTTTCACAAAAACAGCGTTAGACTTTGAAATAAATGTTCGGACTCTCACCCACTACTGTAAAAAAGTGACCTACGAGCAGCTACTTGATCCTGTGATTCAACAATCGCGTCATCAAATTTTTATTTTAAAAATACATGTCAAGTTAAATATATGAGTTTGTCTTAAATTATTAAATATTTTCTATTTCAAACGCTGCCGAGGATAAACTAAAGGCCCCAAATAAAAAAAAAAAAGATTAAAAAATTGAGGGGACAAAAGAAACTTATCACATTAATTTTACAACGGACTCAAAATCTGTTTGATGCCACCGTATTAAAAGAAAAATCAGCTCCACGCAGGAATCCTGTCAAAAAATCTACACAAAGTGCCTACTACTGCTTTGACTCCAACGACTAGGCAGTTTTTTCAATATTATATATTAACAATAAATAATATTGTAAATAAATATAAAAATTAATATAAATAATGTATTTTTTATTATACTAGACATTGCACTACAGACGCTCGCTTCGCGCGCGCTATTTAGCTTTAACATTATGCTATTACTATTACACTATTAACCCTTGATACACACAACTGTCAAAATATACAATGACAGCTGCAAATAAAGTAAGCGCAGCAAAAGAACCAATCGGCATCGCGGAAAAGTGACAATACCTACGACATGCCCTTTTTAGAAGAGGACTAGACACCACAGACGCGCGCTTCGCGCGCGCTATTTAGCTTTAACATTATGCAATTACTATTACACTATTAACTTCTTGATACACACAACTGTCAAAATATACGATGACAGCTGCAAATGAAGTAAGTGCAGCGAGAGAACCAATTGGCATCGCGGAAAAGCGGCAACAAAAAACTTCAAGATATGCGAGTATCGACTTAACATGCCTTTTTTTAGAAAGGAGGAGGAAATGATGGACAGCCCCTCGAATGTGGACAGATAGCCCCGCATATGGGGCTGTCTACGCTTGACTTGCCTACTTAAAAAATTTACCTCTTTAAAATGGTAAAAAATTAACGATTCTATAATTATGTTTTTTTTTATAGCAAGGTTGAAAGGTTATATTATTACAATTTTAGCCAAATATCTTTATTAGTTTTTTAGTAAACTTGAAAAAAGCGTGAAGTGTGGACACATATATAGCCCCGGTTTCCCTTACTAGTAAAAAAAAGGTGCACAAATTACACATTGGGATTTGAGAGACCCTAGATTTATTTTAATGTTAATTATTACCAAACCAACAAACAATCTTTAACAGTATAATGTAACATTGTATTTGTAATCGTTCTGTAAAAAAAAATATTTGTATCTTTAAAATAATTAGAAATTTACAAAAATCGACTAATTAAAGACCAATTAAAAAGTTTTCTATTGGATTTACGTGTATTTTATACAAATGTACATTTTCTAATAGAATGAGTAAATGAGAAGGTTATTAAGAAGGGGAGGGTCGTAAGGGTAAATATTATATTTACCTCGATCAGATAGAAAAAACAAACAGAGCACTTGTCTATGTGCTGTACATATAAACAACATGAGATCCGAAAAAGTGTCCGGACATGACCACTTGATTTCGTGAAAGACAATATACATAGATATGCACGAGGAGAACAAAGGCGGAGTTGTCTAATTATTCGCTTTTTTCTTTTCAATTATTACTCAAAATACTTATTGTGTATACATTTCGCAGTGATCTACGCCAACACATTTGTTGACAATCTCCAATCTTTAAAGCCTGTACTTTATTAACGACATCAAATTATTTCCCCCTCAATACCAAATAATTTTTATCTGCAACATTTTTTTATCCTGCTTCAAATTTCTGAAATATTTAATATTTCTTGTTAATAATGTTCAATGTCATAGAAAGTAGAGGCTGGATAAGAAAATGTTTCAAGCAAAAGTTGTTTTTTTTGCGTAACATAAGATGCCGTTAAAAAAATATAAATCTCTATTTAAAAAAATATATAGTTAATTCCAATTAGTTAATTCCGTTGTCAGCAAATATCGCGTTTCCCATGGGCATGATTTTAAATGGTCCGAGGTTGAGATGCACAGGGTACAGAATACAAAAAAGAGAGAAATTGCGGAAATGTTTCTTATAAAAAAATATTCTGATACTATTAATCTAAAAAAAGACACGGATAATTTAAATCCCTGCATATACGATAACGTCATCTCGAGCGTATAATTTTGTTTTCTGCGATTGGTTACTCTGACCTGACAACCTTGTAAACTTTTAAGTATATGCGATACTGCCAGTTCGTTCCGGACTTTTATAGTGTGAACATGAGTCGTTGTGTGGCTCGAAAAGCTTGATATCTTTGTGTAACTCCTAGACGCTTTAATTCGTTGATATGATACGAAATGTGAATTGGTGCTATCGTGAGACATTCTCCTGGTAAATAGTAACCCTCTTTTTTTATTGTTTGTGGGTTTTGACATCATACTTATTAATTTTATTGATTCTAGCCTTTTATGTATGATTTTTCTGTTAAAATCTCATAAACATTAGAGAATGTGTCGACGATGGTAGCCTTTTTCTCATCAGGTATTTTGAATTTTATTTGCGCTTAAATATTTCTGCATTGACGAAAAAGAATTTTCTGTTATATTTTTCATATTTTATATTTTAATTATTGACGATGTTATTTGACCCCATGCTTTATTTTGTTTTGTTAAATCACTTGATAAGGACCCGAAGCCTGGGTTGAAACGTTGTGAAGTTTATGTATATTTTTTGCCAATTGTTGTCGATTTGAATATATTATTTTTGGTTAAACATTATTGGCAAAACAAACATTTATTTTTGGTAAAAAAATATATATATTTGACCCTAAAATTATCTCGAAACGCCCATCAAAACAAAAATAAATAATTCTGTTGTGTTTCTCTCCCCCAAACCAAACAGCTTTGTTTCAAATTAAAAAAAAAATGTTTTTAAGATATTAAAATATTTTAATTTAAAAAACTCACTCTATATACGTGTACACGTTTTCTGTTTAAAAAGTAATGAGACAAAATTTTTTTCTCAACAACTATAGTAACACTGTCAAAACGAGATTGCAGTCGAAAGCTACATTCATACTCTACTTTCAGTTAAAATTTCAAGTCGATAACATTACCTAACTGAACTGAAGTAACAGGTATTTAAAAAAAAAAGTGAAATTTTATAATTAAATTGCGCCAATTGCAAAAAGAATATGTATATTGCTTTGAAAAATAATTGTTGTGCAACTACTTTAAAAAAATAAAACCTAAGTGGTATCTTTATGTTTCTATTTAAGGATCTTCCTATTCCAACCCAAGTGGTAATAGTTTCTTAATTCTCTTTAATAAATTTTTAATATTACAAAGAACCATTTCAATTATAAAGAATTAAAGAAGTAACAGTACAAAATAAAAATATTTAATTAAAATAAAATAAATAAATTTTTTTTGTAAAAAAACTTGGCGGTTTTTTTACTCCTGTCGCATTCTTCCCTAACTTATGTTTATTGTTTTTTTTTATTTAATCAAAAATCTTAGTACTAATGTTTAAATTTCGAAGTCTAGCAGCGCCAAGTTTTTTTACAAGAAAAATTTATTTATTTTATTTAATTAAATATTTTTATTTTGTACTGTAACTTCTTTAATTTTTTGTAATTAAAATGGTTTTTTGTAATATTAAAAATTTGTTAAAGAGAATTAAGAAACTGTTACCACTTGGGTTGGAATAGGAAGACCCTTGAATAGGAACACAAAGATACCACTTGAGTTTTATTTTTTAAAAGTAGTTGCACAACAATTATTTTTTAAAGCATTGCAATATACATATTCTCTTTGCAATTGGCGCAATTTAATTTAAAGATTTCACATCTTTTTTTAAAATACATGTCACTTGAGTTAAGTTAGGTAACATAATTTTGTGTGAAAGTTAATATTAACATTATTAACCCATCCCAATCATTATGGACATAGAAATTCACAGAGACGTATCTAGGATCCTTTACACCCTTGGCAAGGAGCTGTATCGGCGCCCCCCTCTCCCCAGAATTCGTCTATTATTGCATCTATATTTATATGTGAAACTACTTCTTTTTCTATTGATATTAATGCAAGGCTAGTTAATCTTTCTTGATTCATCGCAGAACGGAGATAATTCTTTATTAATTTGAGCTTGCTAAAACTGCGTTCGCAAGATGCTACAGTCACTGGTAACGTTAAATAAATTCGAAGTGCAGTCTTGATGTTTGGATAAATATCATCCAGAGAGTATTCTTGAATGCATTTTAATAAATCCAGGGGAGTTGCTGATTCTAATTCCTTGATCAGCTTCTGCACTTGTGCTTTGAATACTTCTAATTCGGACACAAGTTCCACTTTGTCTACGTCCAATGAGTAGTGAAGTCCAAAGTCAGCAGCACTTTTTTTCAGCTCATTCAAACTCAGATTTTTCAAGTTATTTCCAGACAAAAAAGAGAAATCTGATGATATAGTTGACATGGCCTCATATCGTGACTTCATTGATTCGTTGTGTAATACACAGCATGCAACAACTTGGACGATAAAATTAACATCTCGAAGTTCATTAAAAAATTTTAAACGGCGAAAGCGTCCTTTCAATACATTGAAAACTTTTTCTATTGCCATATACGCGTAAATGAATGCAAATAATTAAATTCAACTTGTTGTGCCGCGGCGTTATTTTTAAACGACTATGACCTTACTACCATGAAGAACACGCAACAATATTACCGCAGAACATTTTAAGATATTGGTCTTAGCGTAATATTTACAATAAAAAAATTAAAATTCAAAATAAAAAGATATGTTGTTGATCATAATATATTAAACAAATTAAAAGTTAAAATTCGAAATAAAGAAGAGGCTATTGTGCGGGCACAGTGTAATGTGACGCACGTCCACACGGCAATCGACAGTTATTACGTTTATGCGAGCGTTAGGCCCGGTCTACGTATGTCGGAGTCGGATGTCGCAACGTAGCCGATGGTCTAATGCCAATGAGAGAATTTCTTTTTTGGAAACGAATTTTCCTCATTGGACTATCTACGTTCCGACATCCGACTCTCCGACATACGACTGATTGTAGACCGGGCCTTATACTTCTGATAGTAACTTACGATAATTCACTCGTTTACGCGGAGTAAATTATCGTAAGTTATTACAACATCCCGTTTACGCGAGAGAATTATCGTAAGTTACTACAGTAGTAACGCTCGCGTAAACGTAGTAAGTGTAACAAATGTGCTAGTTATCGTTCATTTATCGCAACTTATAAAAAACGAGAATACATTGCAGCAATCTACGGTGTAGCAAGTCTGTATTAGAATATAATTGCTGTTATGAACGTTTTAATTGATAAAAGACGGCCACTTACACGTGCCATGTGAAGAGCGGTTAGTTATGTTTGATAATATTCTCGGCCGTTGTCAAGTTAGCAGCGCCGTCAATAAATATGTTATGCTACGCAATATTGACGCTAAAGATTATATTTAAAGAAAATTTTGATTTTGATTTATATTTTAATAAGAAAAACGTATAGATACTGTAATAAGAAAGTGTCATTAATAAATAATTATTATTACCCTGGCAGAAAAAATTTCTATGAATAACTACAAAATATGACTAAAAATAGAAATTTGTACATTTTTGTTGAAACATTTAATTTCTTGTATAAATAGTTATTTTTTTTGTAGAAATATTTACGAAATAGTACCACAAATTACAATGTTCTCAAATCAAGAAATTATTGCAAGTAGTATTTTATGAAAAACTACAATTTTATAAAAAATAGTACAAAGATCTACAAATTTTAAAAATTTAAGAAGAAACAAAATCTTAAAAAATTAAAACATCTGCTTGCTTGTAGAATACTACAATTATTTATAAATGACTATAGAAATCTACCACAATTTACATATCGTAAAACTATACAAATTAGAACCTAATCCAGTTTTTAGTTTCTCATAAAATACTACAATTTTGTATGAATAGTAACAAATACCGATTTGTTTGTACAGCTCAAAAATCAATTACAATTATGGCTAATTAAAATTTGTAATTTTTAGTTAAATGTTACAAGTTTTTACACAAATCTTCCAAAATTCATCTATTATTAATAACTTCTTAATTTGCAGAAGTCAAAATACTTATGTTTTTATTTTCGTATAGTCTGTTGTAAAGTCCAATAAAAAAATATATAAATGTACAATTTTTTACCTATATAAATTTCTTATTCGTGAATGGTTGTAATTTTGCATACAATTACACGGTTCTACAGAAAACGACAAAATCCTTAAGCCTTTTACAACTCGAATTCATAAAAATCTACATAAATTTGTTTTTTTTTTAGATGTTTATAAGATACTACAATTCGGTTTTAACATGAATTTTTTTTTATTAAGCGGTCTGATAGATTATGGCATACTTTCTTTGTAAACTTTTTGAATTTTTGCAATATCTTCAAAATTGAAGAAAATATAGTACACGAAAGTGTGCTGTGACGTCATACTTTATATAAGAAATGACATCATACCTTTTGAAGTTGCCGTCATCAAAGAAACTTTAGCAAGCTATAACTTTCTCAAATTTAGATTTTTTTAAAAAATTTAAAAAGTACTAAAAATCGGTTTAGATTCTCTACATTAATTATGGATACCGCTTAATAAAAAAAAAATGTTAAAACCGAATTTTACATGGAAATTAACAGACCTTCAACCAAACCTTCAATCTTTCCATGGAAATTAATATAAAAATTAATATGTCAATTAAAAAAATTAAGTATTTTATGCAAAATTAGAAAAAAAAAGAAAACTTAAAATAACATATAAGCAATGAGAAGTGCCGTTTTCGGTCGAAGCGGATCTTGATGCTTAATAATATTTTACAATATCAATTATTATTAAATACATGTTTCAGTTTTTTAAATTGGCACTGCGTGCCAATATGGACTTTGTCAGACTTAAAACGCAATTGTGTAAACTGAAACTAAAAATAATATATTTTATATTAATTTGATATTGTCAAGTAAAATAATATACTATTAGAAGAATATTTTTATAACAGCTAGTTATACAAATTTATATGGATTGATCCATTACAGAGTATATATTCATATATAATTATCTTTAACCTTATAAATATACTTTTATGTCACACGTGCATGGAAAGTGGCCCATTACGCACGCGACGCGTGCGTGATAGGCCACTTTCCACGCACTTGCAACATAAAATAGGGTATGCAACACGTGCGTGAAGTTGAAAATTCCCGGGTGCGGTGACCGCACTTGTCTTTGGCTCGTGCGTCAACTCCGCACCCGTAAATTTTCATCTTCCAGCACTTGTTGCACAAATAACTATTATATCATCATATCATACGTGCGTGGAAAGTGGCCCATTCCGCGCGCGCCATCTGTGCGACAAATAGCCAATTTCCCACGCGAGAAATTCCCCATTTGAACCCGTGCAGGAATGAGATATTCCCGCACGCAAAGGCGAGTGCGATCACCCGCACCAGTGTCCAATTCTCAACCCGCACGTGTTACACAAATAACTATTACATGATAACACATGATAATATACTAGTATATAAAACCATATATGACTGTATAAAGTTATACTTAAAGAGATTTAGCCATATAATATTGTTCAAGATTATATTTCCATTTCTTATATGACCATATATAATTATATATTTACTAATATGAACAAATAAGAGGTATTTTTCCCGAGTATATAATCATATATGCTTATATATAGCCATATAATATTGTTTAAGATTATATTTTCCATTTCTTATATGATCATATATAATCATGTATCTACTAATATAAACTAATATGAATAAATAAAAGATTTTTTTTCCTGGGTTATGCGGTTTTAGACATGTGTGTATGTGATGCTGGGTAAGTTTTTTTTTATAATGACTCGCTTTTTATTTTACAGATAAGTTAGAATAAAGAAGTTTTTTCTTCTTTTTGTAATCGCGCGGCGCGACGTTGGCCCAATAGGCCTATTTTGTAACGAGCCGGCACTGCCCACATAGCACGGGAAGCTCCCGGAGAGTTTCTGAGAAGCTTATAAAATTTTTTATAAGCTTCATTTGAACTTCAAAAGAATTCGCACGGAGCTCTCCGGGAGCTCCTATGTCCGCTTTTGAGAGCTCCCTGCGAGCTTCATCGAAGCTCGCAGGGAGTTTAGAAATCATGTTTTAATAGCCCCCTGCGAGCTTCAAAGTAGTTCCCGGGAAGCTTCCATATAAGCTCCCCGGGAGCTCGTACGTCCACTATTGCGAGCTGTCTAAAAGCAACACGGGGAGCTCTCGGGGAGTTCCTGAAGAGCTTATAAAATTTTTCATAAGTTTTATTTGAACTTCAAAAGAACTCGCACGGAGCTCCCTGGGAGCTCATATGTCCGCTTTTGAGAACTAGCTGGGAGCTTCATCGAAGCTCGCAAGAAGTTAAGAAATCATGTTTTAATAGCTCCCTACGAGCTTCAAAATAGTTCCCGGAAAGCTTCCATATAAACTCCCTAGGAGCTCGTACGTCCACTATTGCGAGCTGCCTAAAAGCAGCGACATTAGATGCTTTCCATTTACATTAAAGCTCAGATAAATCTTACTTCTGTCTTTCTAACATGAATGTTGAAGAAAGACAAAAGTGAGATTTATCTGAGTTTTGATGTAAATGGAAAACATCTATAATTTGCATAAAGTTTTATTTGCGCTTGTAAGAGCTCAGAAATCGTGTTTTAAGAGCTTCTTGTAAAAATAGTTCGCATGTAAAGCTCGCCGAGAGCTTCTCAATCCACTTTCGCGGGATTCTCATTTGTACTAATCACTATATATATTTTATATAATTATTAGAAACATTTTAATTATTATTTTATATCTTATCTTGAAATAAAAAGTATAATATATTTTACGCATACAAAAATACATTAATAATAATAATTTGCAATAATAATTAGATTAAAAAACATGAATAACTTGTTTTAATTAAGAACTTTTTAAATCTATCTTAAGTATGTTATAATCTCGCTAATCGGTCGTATTGACGTTGACTTGATTAACAGGCGACATAAAAAAATTAATTAAGCACATTATGTCGTCGTTTTTCTCTTGAGACGTTACAGCCGTGGATCCCACGGATGGCATGCTTTCTTTTCCATCTATCACCGGCATGGTGAAACTATACCGTAACTTCTTTTTCTATCTCACTTTGGTTTGTTAAGGTGTTCTTTTAAAATCGTCTCTGTAAAATAATAATATATATCATTAATTAATTATATATATACACAGAAAATATATAATATACATAAGTACGGATAAATTATATACCATTGAGAGTTTTAGCCATTTTCATCCCTTGAAAGGCAAATGCTCTTTCACAATATCTCCACGGAAAGTTCGATTTTCCATGCCTGTAGAGAGGGGCGAAAGTGACCAATTTCACGCCAGGACGGCATTAGCGGGACGAAAGTAACCACTTTCCGCCCGCTATGCCGTCCTGGCGTGAAATATGGCCACTCTCGCCTCTCTCTAGGCATGGAGGTCGAACTTTCCGTAAAGATATTGTAAAGAATATCGTGTGCACCTCGAGGCGAAAGCTTTTTCAGACTCGTGTGATTTGCCGCCCTCGCCTTTGGCTCGGGCGACAAACTTCACACTCGTCTGAAAAACGCTACTTTCGCCCCTTGGTGCATAATATACTATTTCCGCCTTGTCCATGAATAATCACGCGCCAACGCATCCGAAAATATAGTACTCAAAATGTTGCTCACGTGTTTGGTTGCAGTTTTGCCACCAATTCGAACCATTATGACTTTTCACGCATTTTACATACGATCGAGCTGGGGTATCGCAGATTACTGCGTTTATTACAACCTTGTAATATTTTCCTACATATTGAAATCCTTCTTCTATTAGTTTTTTGCTTTCAGTAATGAAATCTTTCAAATATTCGCTAACTGAAGAAGGTTTCGCATTCCCGTGATAAACACCTATAACAATAATTATGCATATTAGGGTAAAGCAGAAAAACGCAAAAATATCTCCGCTTGATTAACAAAAATGCAAAAAAGCTGCTTATTGCAAACTTTAGGTTTAAGTATTTTACATATACTGTCACGTCTTTTTGCGCCCGAAGCGCGAGACGGATCAAAAAGAGAGGTGAGGAGAGAAGGATGACGGGCCTCTCCGACGGGTCTCTCGCGCCGTCCGACACTTAAATTCACAATCAGAACTAATGTTGGGCGCCAGACGCGTAAGCTCGCGTCCACTAAGTCACACTAAAATCGCGAAAACTCGAAAATGAACACTAAACGTAATTAGTCGGACGTAGGAAAGATCGGCCAGCTCGACCTAACGGCGGTGGGGGGTTAATATAGGGCAGCGCAAAGATTCGGCGGAGTGACGCGTAAATCACACGAGAAACGGAAAATATGGTCGAATGCGATGATACTGACTCGAATTACCTTACGAAGAATGAAGTAAACGCGAATTACACGAGAAAACTTAAAACTAAACATAAGAGTAAATAATACGGAAGGCATAAAGGTGCCTTTTCACGTCAACGCTCGACGCTCATTTTCAGCAAGTAAAAATCTTTAGAAATAATATCTTTTATTTATATATGTATCCATAAAATATTATTACTTGAAGATATTACTTAAAAATAATTAATATTTTACGTATTTCGAAGTCTATGTTTGATTGTACTGGGACGCTTAACGACGATTCAGCGACGACGCTAAATATTAAACAAATTCAACTTTAATGTATTTCTGTTAATTGTGATGTACTACCTTGCAATGTCATTATAATTATATTTTTCTTATTTATCCTACATAATTATAGTACATAAATAAAACTTTATTTTGCAGACTTTTAAAACAATTACGCACACGACAAATTTTAAACATTAATAAACTATTGCGCATTGGGCAGAATTACTGTACTTTATATTAGTGAATGGGGTGTACTGTAACATATGAAAAGTTTAGCAAAATTCAAGGGGTCAAGATGAGTTGGTTGTTCCCTTATCCAGTTTCAGTAAGCAAATAAAACGTTATGACGCTTTTCTACCAATCAAATTTATGTAAAATGCCTAATTAAATCCTGCACTAATTTGGCTCTGGAAACTGTGTAGAAATCAATCCACTGCTTTATAAAGGCTCCATGGAGCACAAAATATGTCCAGGTATATTTAAATCTCAGTGCTTTATCCACGTTATTTCTATTTACTGAATATTTATGGTAAATCCACGATCCACAATTTTCTGTACGCTATGATCCAATAGCTGTGTAAAACGCACATAAATTAGATTTTCAGACATCAACGCAAACTTTTAATTTAATGGAACATATAAAAAAGCAAGTCAACCTGTTTAGTCTCGTCGCCAAATACTTTCTTGCTGCCTTGCTTGGCAGCTTCCGCTATCACATCCTTAATTGCGCTGAGCTTCAAACTACATATTCTCCTTGCTAGGTTTTTCTGTTTCTGCCGGGGCTTTGAAGTTTTTATCTTGCTCGAATACTTTTACGATTTTTTTACCAAATAGTATCCACGGTAGTGGCTCATCTTCCTCGGCAGATGTTATTCAAGAATGAAGCTAATTTCTAGAACGAAAGCAGTTCTGTACACATGCGCCATATCCATTAAATAAAATTATCTAATCAAGTAAAATGTGTTTTACCTTATCTAATTCCCATTTTTTCACTAAACTGGCAACTTTTCCCCCAAGTACGTAAATTAAATGCGCTGGTGTCAATAAAGAAAGTCCATGTGACACAGGTAGAGTTCCTGATTTTATCAGTATTTTTGTACCAGGTGGCGTGTTTTAACTAACTACATGTAAAACAAATGATTAGAAGAGACATTGTAAAAAGCGACACAAGGCAGTAAGTAACGCAATCTAATCTAATACATTTATACCTTAAAGCCGATATATGTTCAACTTCTAAGGCTTGAAAATTATTCTTTCCATCTGTCAACGATAATTTTAACATTTGCGGAACTGATCTCGATTCTTCGTTTCCTTTGAGCGTAGCTACATTACGTATCTTCTGTATAAATCTTTAAAAAAAATTAAACTCATCGTTGCCGTCCTCGAAAAATTAGAATTTTGGAATCAGATCTTAGCGTTTTAGAACATTCTGAACACATTTTGGCATATCAAGAAAATCGATTATAAAAACTACCCAAATAAATTGCAGGAGCATTTAATTCATTGAGAACTTTCAAAAACACTATAATAAAGTATATTTTCCTTTAATACTTTTCAAGAAATATTCCACGTATTAAAACATTCTGAAAACATTGCCATATCAAAAAAATCGGTTATAAAGAACCACCAAAATAAATTGCAGGAACATTTAGCTCACATCGAGAGCTTTCAAAAACACTATAATAAAGTATATTTTCCTTTAATATTTTTCGAGAAATATTAGTGTTTCATGTTTTCGTTGCAAGAAAACGTCGCAGTCGTGGCCCGAAATTAGAGCCAAAGCACATATGACAGTCGTAGTCGTGTGGACGTAAGTAACGCACAAGCTTTAGCGTATTCTAATCTATCAGGTTAGGGATTACGACCGTCGTATATCGCTACGCCATGTTATGTGCTTTGACCCTTACCCCACCCCACTCGGGAAAGACGTAGTTCTACGTCAAAATAGAAATATAAAAAAATGTAAATATAAGTTTAATTTTCAAAATAATATTAATACATTGTTATTAAATGCTTATTTCTGTTTAATCTCATGTGCCTTTTTCTTTTTGTTTACTTTTTCTTCTTTTATTACATGTGGATATTAACACACACAAACTAACAAACACACACACACACACACACACACACACACACACACACACACACGGAGATTTTTTTTAATGCAATTTTTCGACGTTTTACAACATTCTGAACACATTGGCAGCGGCAACTAAAAAAAACTTTTTTTACGAAAACAAAGCTTCCTCCATGAGGAAGCAGAATAATGCAATTATATATTTGTGTAGGATGTGTAGAGGTGTGTGTGTGTGTGTGTGTGTGTGAGAGAGAGAGAGAGAGAGAGAGAGAGAGAGAGAGAGAGAG